CCCGACCCAAGCCCTGCTTAATCATGGAATGCTGGAATGCTTTGGGTTGGAAGGGACCTTAAAGCCCATGCAGTTCCAACCCTCTGCCATGGTCAGGGACACCTTCCACTAGACCAGGTTGCTCCACCCTGGCCTTGGACACTTCCAGGGATCCAGGGGCAGCCACAGCTTCTCTGGGAATTCCAGCCCAGCCCCTCCCCACCCTCACAGCCAACAATTCCTTCCCAATATCCCATCTAGCCCTGCCCTCTGGCACTGGGAAGCCATTCCCTGTGTCCAGTCCCTCCATCCCTTGTCCCCAGTCCTTCTCCAGCTCTCCTGGAGCCCCTTCAGGCCCTGGAAGGGGCTCTCAGGTCTCCCTGGAGCCTTCTCCTCTCCAGGTGAACCCCCCCCAGCTCTCCCAGCCTGGCTCCAGAGCAGAGGGGCTCCAGCCCTTGGAGCAGCTCTGTGGCCTCCTCTGGACTTGCTCCAGCAGCTCCAAATCCTTGTGATGTTGGGGATTCCAGGGCTGGAGCAGCTCTGCAGGTGGGGTCTCACCTGAGGAAGCAGAGGGGCAGAATCTCCCCCCAGCCCTGCTGCCCACACTGTGGGGCCAGCCCAGGCTCAATAAAAATCAGTCCCAGTGCAATTAATTTCCAGCTTTAGTTGCATTTTCCAACCACCACACAGCCAGAGGACCCCAACAGACCTGACACTGACGAGCTGCAGCCCAGTGGGAGGATGAAAAATCCTCTAAAAGAAGGCAGGAAAAAATGCCCACCCCCACGAAAGAGAAGGGAAAAAAATAAAAATCCCCTAAGACAATGGAGAAAAAAAAAAATCTCTGTTTTCCAAGGTCAATACGTGGATATTTCCAGGAAGGGGCTGGCAGCACCCGCACAATGAATTCTCCTCGGGAAAGTTTTGACCTCGGTAGCAGCACTAAAAATGGTAATTTTTAACCCAAGCCTCCACATCTTTCCTTCCCCCTCCCAGCACAGGGAAGCTGCTCCAGCCCCCCAAGCAGGGGAAACACCAGCATTGGCAGAAATGAGCTCAAAAATAACATTTCCCCCCTTTGCACACTCAGCACCCAATGCTTCTACCCTTCATGGGGGTATTGGGGTTTGGGTGATTATTGGAGCTGATTTTTGAGGACACTCAAACAGGATGTGGGGACACGGTCTGAACCTTTGTGTCCTTTAAGGACAGCTGGATCCAACAACCCTGGAGCCCTCTTGGTCCCCCAGAGTGATCTGTTGAACCAGATTAATTAGCTAAATGCTCCGAATTCTGCAGCATGGGCAGGAGCTGTGCTGCAAAGCCAGGATGGGGAGTGTTTATCAGGATGATAATAACTAAATACAAGCCAAATATAAATACAATAACATTTTGAGCGTTGTTTTTTTTTATACATTCTTCCAATTCTCTCATCACACTGCATTTGGCACCCCTAATCTCCACAAATAACATTCCCCATCTCCACAAATAAACATCCCTCATCTCCACAAACGAGCATCTCCCATCCAGCCAAGGCAACGGAATATATTTTTCCCGCAGGAAAAAAATGCGAAAAGAAGAATTTTGGTGCACAGCTGCGCAGTTTGCGGAGAGCTGGGGGAGGAATAGCCTGATTTAGAGGCTTGAAACGCAAAGCGAGAGCCCGAACCTCATCGGGGTGGTTTGAGCCGTGCCGGGATCCGGGGTCGGGGATCGCCGGGCGAACAGCTCCATCTCCCGGCGAACAGCTCCATCTCCCGGCCAGCCCCGGGCCCAGCTCCCCCTGGAATCAGCCCTGGAGTGTTTTACAAGGCTGGAGATCCCAAAGGACGCTCCAGAACCTGGCTGAGCTTTCCAGCTCACTCTGTTCCAGAGCAAAGTGCATGGAAACGCCTTGATGTAACTGCGACCGCTCGCCTGGAAAAGCACATCCCGAGGGATCTTGGAGTCCGGGGAGGCTCAGGAGTAGCCCCGCTGTCCCAGCTGCCACACAACCCCAAAATCCCCAGCATGAGGTGATTCATGAGGCTGTTCATGGCTTTTAAGGCTTTTTCCTGCAGTGCAACCCTTTACAGGGGCTGGAAATTAAACTGGGTGGGCACAGGAGCGTATCATGGAATCATGGAATGGTTTGCATTGGAAGGGACCTCATCCAGTCCCATCCCCTGCCATGGGCGGGGACACCTTCCACCAGCCCAGGTTGCTCCAATCCCTGTCCAACCTGGCCTTGGACACTTCCAGGGATCCAGGGGCAGCTGCAGCTTCTCTGGGAATTCCATCCCAGCCCCTCACCACCCTCATAGAGAAGAATTCCTTCCCAATATCCCATCTAGCCCTGCCCTCTGGCACTGGGAAGCCATTCCCCCTTGTCCTGTCACTCCACGTCCTTGTAAAAAGTCCTTCTTGTGTAAAAATTATCCATCCTCAGGCATTGCATGCTGAGAAAAAGGAGAGAAAAAGCAAGAAAAAATTGGGAATGTCATAATTTAGGAAGTTCAGGATCATCCCTGAAGCATTTCTGAGCTCAGGACTGTGAGCAGAGGATGCTCATGATGGGATGTGGACATTGAAGCATAACCTGGGTCTGGATGCAAAATTGATGCTGGAAAAATGCAAATCTAAGCTGTGGCTGGAGGTTCTACTGGGGTTGTTGTGTATTTTAAGCAAGAACATTAAAAAAAATAACCCCTCAGTGCATTATAGGAATGGATGGGTTTGTCCAGCCTAAAGGCTGTTCCTAAGCCAGGGGTTACAGTGATTTGGACGAGGTCATTGGCCTTGCATGCATCCCTGCTCCAGAATGTTGTTGAATCCCTCAGGAGCCAAACGACTTCTGTAAAATTTAAGAAAATGTTGTAATGGAGCCCCAAAAATCAACGTCCATCAGCCTCTTTCCACTCCTTGACAGAGGTGAGAGCTGACTGACCTGAGGAGAAGATAAGGATGTTTATACTCCCAAACCACACCAATTCCAAGGAGAGGTGACACTCTCACAAACATCCATGCTCAAAAGTCTTTCAGTGAGGACTTACCTGCTGGAGGATGGTGGTTATACCTGCCCACAAGCTTCTTTGGGATTCCAAATTTTTCACTTAGTGCCTCCTTATTTTCTTTTCTCGCAGCAGTGGTTGAGCTGCTCAGCTAAACCAGGATTTAGGGAAGGTTTAAGCACCCAGGACAGGGACCAGAGAAGAAATTGCAGCCGCTGGAGGGCAAAACATCCCTCTGCTCCTTTTAAGCTCTTTCAAGGGAGGATTTGCATCCTCTCTACCAAACACCTGAGAGAGGATCAGTCCCAGATCCGCGTGTGTTTTGGGCAGAAGATGCTAAAGATCGGGATATTAAAGATTGGGATTGATCATGTGAAAGCCCGAGAGACGGGACCGAGGGGGGTTTATCTCCAGGCACCACCTTCACACCCCCCCCCCGCAGCATCCCTTGGAGATGTGGCTCTTCCTGGAGTTGTTCCGGGTGCTAAAGACAAAGG